GCGGGCCGTAGTTTGCCCACGGCTGTTCTAGCCCCATGTCCTCCCACAGGCCTCAGAGTCATGTGGTGCCTGCCCAGCTCCTGGCTCTTGCATAGGGTGCCTGGTGCCTCGTGCAGGACATCTCCGTCCAGATGGGGGTGGGTAGGTTGCGGGGACTCCCTTGAGCTGGGGCAAGCTTTCTGCTCAGCAGCATGCACGCCCTCCCGTCTAGGAATCCACCCTGAGTGATGACTCCACACCCCCCAGCAGCAGCCCCAAGATCCCGAGTGGTCCCCGGCAGGAGACCAAGTGCTCCTACCCCTACCACACGCTGTCCCAGTCTTCGGATGAGGTGAGCAGGCCCTGGCCTCTGACTCTGCCGGGTGTGCAGGCCACAGGCCAGGTCTTCCCCCCTCACTCTCCCTGGTCTCCGCCCCAGTTCCTGGATGAACCTCTCCCCACTATCCACCACTGGACCAGTCAGCAGGTGGGCCAGTGGCTGCACAGCCTCAACCTGGAGCAGTATGCCGCCGAGTTTGCCGCACGGCAGGTGGACGGGCCGCAGCTCCTGCAGCTGGATGGAAGCAAACTGAAGGTGGGTCAGAGCCTGAGGCAACCTTCAAGGATTGGGTTCCCCTACCCTGACCTTGTCACTCCTACTGCCCTAACCTCTGACGTCTAGGCAGGGTCCCTGGCCTGATCTTTGTACTCTAGCATGGGTCCTCAGTCTGACTCGAAACTGAAACCCAATTCTTTAGTTTGACCTTCAAGCTCCAGGCCTTGACCTTTAGGGCTTCATCTCATCAAACTCTTGACTCTGATGAGGCTCCTGGTATCGCGGGAAGCAGGCCTCTCCCCTGATCACCTTGTCCGATTCTCAGTTGTGGAGGCGGGTGGTAATGGAGGGGGATCAGGAGGGGCCTGATGTCTGTGCTGCGAGGTTCTGGCCTGTTTCCACCCTCTGCCAAGTTGCTTGGGGAAGGAGTGGGGAGGAGAGCCCCCCGGGAAGTCTCTGGAGTGGGAAGGGGCCTCACCAACTGACCAGCTGTGTGACCTTGGGCAAGTTGCACCCCATCTCTGGGCATCAGGGTCATGGCCAGGCTGAAATTCTGAGTGGAGGAGTGGGAGCCAGGGATTATGGGAAGTGGAGGATGGTGGGGGCTGGGGTGCTGGTAAAGGGCCTGGTACTCCCCACCCTCTTCTCTCCCAACTACTCCCGTTTCAAATTCTTGCCCTGAGGGTTCTGATCCACTGGCAGGTCTGGGAGGTGGAGGCTGCACTTCAGAGAGGACAGGTGGAGCTCCGGAGAGGGCACACCTGGACACACAGAACCTGGGGGTGGTTCTGGGGCGCTTTCCCTCACTCTCAGCTCCTCCCCCAGAGCCTGGGGCTCAGCAGCTCGCATGACCGGGCACTGGTGAAGCGGAAGGTGAAGGAGCTGGCAGCGGCCGCTGAGAAGGAGCGCAAGGCCCAGGAGAAGGCTGCCCGGCAGCGCGAGAAGCTCCGGCGCCGGGAGCAGGAGGCCAAGAAGAGCTAGAGGAGAGCGAGGCAGGCATGGCACCCAGGCACGGGCAGC